TCCATCTAATCTCACTAAAACGCAGGAATGTGCATTTTGATTAGCTCGTAATTAATAATTCCGTAGGTTAAAGTCAACTTCGATTTTTATTTTCTTTTTTTTTTTTTAATTTCGTGTTTAACTGTGTTGAAAGACTGTTTGGCAAACATTAGTGCAGTGCAGTTGAAATATTTTAGACGCATTGGAGCTATAAAAGTGCTTGGAACCATGAAGCTCCTCCAGTGAAAATTTTTTCTTCCCACCGGACCCTCATTTTCCAAAGATACCTCGGCTCTTCCATTTTTGTTTTCTTTTTACCCTTGAAACTATTATACATGGATGAAAATGTTCTTGTCACATAGCTTTTTCTTTTCCTTTCTTTTTATTTAAAATTTTTTAAATTTAATAGAAGTCAATAAAATTTTATAATTTATAATAAATTAATTAATAACTAAATAACTTAATTATTATTTATGTATTTAAGTTTTAGTTAATTATTTATTTTAGCCAGTAAATTTATTTGGTTGTTTATTTTTTAATAAAAAATAATTAAATAATCCTAAATCCAAAAATTTTAATAATTGATTACTTTCATAAATGTCAAATATACTAAAATTTTCATTATATACAAACTCTAATCTCATTATTATTTGATATAATGTAATTATAATAATTTTTAACTATTTATTAATTTCAAAAACAAAAAAGTACACTATAAATTTTATTATATATAAATTTTTATTTGATATCTTTAATAATTGTTTTCTTTTTTCACTATATTTCAGTTCACGGTTATAGTTACATTTATATCTAAATACATTTTTTTACTATTGATTTTAATCTTATCTTTATAGTAATCAATTTTATTGCTATAAAAACTAATACTACTTTTATTATTGTTTTCAATCTCGAAACCAACCCTATCACTCATCCAAATGGATCTTAAAACAAACAAAGATAAAAAATGCAGGGGTGAGATAAAAAGGTTATCATCACACAAACTCGCAAAGAAGATGAATATTATCCCTCTACTTCTAGAAGAAATAGGTTAGGTTTTGGATGATAAATCAATATTCCATGTCTAGCAAAAAGGAAGAAGAAGCCAAGATCGAGGAGGCATTCTTGTTCCAGTAAAAACGTTTCAAATTTTAGTTCAATGATTCCATGTAGGGTGGCAGTAGAATGCGACATTCACTTTTAAAAAAATGCTAATGTTATATGTAGATTTCAAATTTTATGTAAAAAAAATTTTAAAAAGAATAAAATATTTGGAACCTGGATGTCTAGTCCTCGTTATACTCATATCGCATCTCATTTTTTCTTTGCACTTTCCAACCACCAAATTTAGGTGAAAAAAAAAAGAGAAAAAAGCGAGGATCCTTATCAGAATTTGATTCATTCAGACATTAAACGATCACTTCTCTTGGAGATGATCAAAGAATATGTTCATGTAAAATTCAAGGCTCACCATTGATTTGGTGGGTTGGGGGTCGTTGCCCTGTTTGTCGACAAGGACTCGGCTCTTGGGCCACTTATTCATGTCTATCTTACCATTTGTCTAACAGGCAAGATCCATCATAACTATCATAGAACTTTTCATTGAATTGGTGGAATATATTTGGTGGAGATTTTTTGGTTTTCTGAAGATCCAAAACCTAGTTTATAAGTTGGACCTCTCTTTTTACTTTTTCGTGTGAATAAATTCCCCTAATAAAACAAAAACATGCACAGTGCTGAGATGATCAATACATGAGAAAAAATTATAAAAAAAAAAAAGAAGACAAGAGGGCCTAATCAGACAGCAATATCGTCGACCAAGGAGCCAATGCTAATTGCTAAGATTAAAGTTTGTTGAATCTTATGGATTACTATTAGGAAGAATAATTCTCCATTTTACTCCCTCTTTTATCTGTCACTGTCATTGAACCTTTGCAATTTGCATACGGTTAGAGTGAAATTAACATGAGAATGGAATTCTAGGCATGTTACACCCATTTACCTGATCAAAGTTTGATCAACACGATCAAATTCCTAAGTCATCAAAGCAATCCTTGCCTAAATTACCACTTCATCATTATTCAAAGAAACGACTTGCCTCTCACCAAGAGAAATACTTGCCCAATGTCTCAACATCAAGGCATAATATTATAACTGAACATTTGATCCCTCAATTTACTTGAAATTATTAAATGTAGCACTTACTTGTTTAAGATCATTAAATCCGACTCGTAATCATTCACATGAATCTTTTTCGAGTTTTATGTATATTTTTCTTCAACTGTCAATTATTTCAATCAGATCACCGTTTCTTATATTATATATAAGATAAAAATGAGTCATAGGTATGTAGGACAATATAGATACTTCACACTTAATAATTTTTCTCCATTGTAACTTTTTACACATAGTTCATCTCCTTTCATACCATTCTTCATACATCTCACTTACTTGCGTGTTGGACCATGTCTCGGAAAAATAACTTTAATATCCCTTAATTGTGCTTTCTGACTGCAAGTTCAAACCATACAAGATACAACCCTCAACAACCTTATACCAACTCTCTCTAACTAAGATATCAAAAATACCATCAACAATAGATAACCAAACAACCAAATTAGTGATTACGACTCATTGACATCAAGCAATTTTGCATCTCAAAAGAGTAAAAATAATAGTATAACAAATTTATTAATTGCCTGTAAATTTCCAAAGTAGCAATGGAAATTGCTCCGCGCCCATTGTTCGAGGAAATGGATGGCCCTTATCTTGACTTTGAAGCAAAGGAAACCAGGTTTTCTGAAGATATTGAGATCCAAATCAGCAAACCTGATCTTTTTGACTCTATATTTATCTCAGCAAATTAAGGATTCCTCTCTAGTCATAGCTTGTCTCCTCCAGTATTATAGGCAGTTTCAGTAAACATATACTACAGCTTATTAAAGTCTTTATATAGTCAAAGACTTTCAAGGCTTGGATGTCAGTATCCAACTCACGTTTTGCAACTTGATTTGATTCATAACAACTTGAAGTAAATTGAAATTTTGCAACTGTGATTCACATAATTGCATAAAAGGTACTTGCACTATGTGTGGTAATCACACAAACATGCAAGGCAAAAAGAGGTGAAAATGAAGGAAAAAGTAATCGGCTAATGCTCATCTTTTGACTTTGTTTTTTCTTCCATGGCTTGAAAAGTATGGAAGCCTTCTGAGTCTCTATCACCTATCCATTGTTAGCTGATCTCTGAAACATGAGAAAGTGTTGATGCAATATTATAGCAGTTGAAAAGTCATGTTCCTTTTTTAAAGGGTCTGAAAAGCCATGTACTTTTTCAACTTTGGTGAAATCAAATATCTCATGTATGAAGAAAATATTTTAAATTTTAAATTTTTTTAGTTATTAATTTTAATAAAATTAAAGGATGAAATTAAATTATTTTTTTATGTTTTAAATTTATTAAAAAATAATTAAAAATATAAAACTCAAATATTTTATACTGATGTAAGTCGATACTTTTATATGTAACATATATATTCTCAAAGTAATATCATGTAGCTCATAGTTCAAGACAAAAAATTAACGCAAAAAAATAAATAAATAAATAAAGGAAAAAATCTTAATGGTGAATGGTAGGTGATACAATCGATCTGATTTCCAGCACTAAACGCATTTCCAACGATCATATTCTTACCATGACCCACTGGCCTGTGTTCACAGCAATACCGGTTCCAAGTTGAATTAAACACTGCGGATATCAGCCAAAATTTTTATCAGAAATTTCTACAGACTTTAGTTATACCCCTTTTATGTATATGCCATTTATTTGACATTAATAATATTAATAAGGGCGTTAATGGATTATTATTATTAATGCAAATACTGTTGGAATTGACCAAAATTTCACCTAGCCACTAATATGAAATTAATCGACATTAAAATAAATCTAAACGTAAGTGAGAGTTCAAACCTGCTTAACTGAGGTTTACAAAATGATTGTTGCGTTTTTGTGCTTCCTGATATCTCATTCGAACGTTTGAATGGAGATTTACACACAAAAAAAGAGAGAAAATTGCTATTTATAGAAGATGAGAGTAGATATCTTTTTAAATATGTTAGTCAAAATTAACCTATTTTATTATATGTGCAAATACAGAATTATATTTAAATCACACTTAACAATTATGATCATACTACTAATTTGATTATATTACATTATAATATCACAATAATTATTCGTTAATTAATATTAATTAATATAATTTGATATGTAATGACTTTATTAGTCCACTAATGTGAAATAAATGTAAGAAATACCAACATCTATGTTGAAAATAATATTATTAGAGACAAAATTCAGATATATTAATTATAATCAAATTATATTTGGGATGTTCTTACTATGAATTCATGGCCATGCCTCAGTAGTGATAAATACATCCCTATTAGCATAAATGAGTTGCACCATTATAAGAAAGCATATCTGCCATTCAGCATTTAAAAACTTTTAATCTTTTATTGTGCTTATGTAGTAAAGATAGATTTTGGGCTTTAACTTCTTTGGGGTTGCTCCAATTATCAAAGCAGTATGGCTGCCAAATGGCTGCACATGTCTGATCCCTGATACTATTTCAAACCCATATCGATTATGGATAAGCTAGTAAATTCAGAGAAAAAAAGCAGCGAACATCATTAGCTATATTATCTGCGAAAAACCATGAAGATAAAATTCACCGTCTGAAGTCTATCGCTGGGGTTTTGAGAATCTTGAATGCAGTGCCAACACCGCATCCCTCAAACAACCCCACCTCAATCAAAAAGAGAGAGTGAGAGAAAGAGAGAGAGAGAGAGGGTTTTATCTTTGATTCTTTGCCTCCGTCAGGGCACTTTTTCCAAGCGTTTTATTGCAAATTTTACGACCCACTATATGTCATGCAAGTGACCAACCAGTTGTAGATACTTGCCAAACCTAAGCTCACATCACACGAGACAGCCCCACACCGTATTGGACACCCTCCCAGCTCTCACTCATTCCTCTTTGTATATATATGTGTGCAAACTCATAGACGTCTCATCCATTTCCGTTCTCTGTTGAAAATCTCCATAAAAACGATCCCTTTTGCACTCTCTCGACCCTTTTTCTTCCCCTTTTTCTTACTGTCTCATTAATTCCTCTACAGCTAGCTCTAGTCACAGCCGTAGCCATGGTCGCTCACCTAGTCAACACTATCCGAAATGTAGTTGGGATCACAGGTACGTTAGTTTAACGTAGAATTTATGATACGGTTGTTTCCTTAAACCTGCCTCTAATTTTTTTTTTTAAAGAAAAAGGGATTTTATCATAATCAGACTTAAGTAATATATATACTTGCTTTCCATCTATTGAAGACTAAACTAATGTTGGTTTCTTCTGCTTCTTTCCAGGGAATGTTATCTCACTCTTCCTGTTCTTGTCTCCAGTGTAAGTTAGCCTTTAGCTTAATCTTTTCAAAGCACTATGATTTTTTACTTTTGGGCTTTTCACCCCAGAAAGTGAAGAGCAAACATCCCATGTCAGTGGAAACCGAGAAGACATTATCGCCCATATGGGTGACCAATTTTTCAATAAGGTGAAGGGCATTATTGTCTTCTTCCTGCCCAGGGTGCTATAATTAAAGGCAATAATCAAACCTGCCATAAGTTTTGTTAGTTACAATGGATTCGTTGGGTTTTCCTTTTGCAATCAAAGCTTAATTAATGTGTTTTAATTCATTCCATTATTTTAATCCTTTTTTGGTTAATGGCACTTATTTTCCAGGCCAACTTTTGTTAGAATTTGGAAGAAAGCGTCAGTGGAACAGTTCTCCCCAGTCCCATACCTAGCAACCTTAATCAATTGCATGCTTTGGGTTATTTACGGGCTGCCTATGGTGCACCCTAACAGCACCCTGGTTATAACCATCAATGGCACAGGGACAGCCATTGAGGTCGTGTACCTAACTCTCTTCCTGATATTTTCTCATGACAAGAAAAAAAGACTCAAAGTGCTGTTAATCTTGCTGGTTGAGCTAATTTTCATTGCCGTTGTCACCACTCTGGTTCTTACCATAGTTCACACCACTGAACGCCGGTCCATGGTCGTTGGAATTTTAGCAATTTTGTTCAATATCATGATGTATGCTGCGCCTTTATCCGTCATGGTTAGTATCTGGAATCTCGCTGCCCCTAAAACAGAAAAGCATAACTGTAAATATCCTTTTAATTACCCACTAAAAGAAATGCATGCCTTTGTTGATGTTAGGTGGACGACAGTTAGTAATTATAAATTACTAGTAGAATTTTGCTACTTAATTACCATATTAAGAGTAAAGCTTGTTAAAGAACGCTGTTGGATTGAGGAAGAGGTGGTCTAATTTATATATGATGATGGTGCAGAAACTGGTGATCTCGACGAAAAGTGTGGAGTATATGCCATTTTTCCTCTCCCTGGCTTCCTTTGCCAATAGTGTTGCTTGGGTGACTTATGCTTTACTCCCTTTTGACCCTTTCATTGCTGTAAGTTACACATTCAGTTTTTATCTTTTTCTCTATTTTGACTACTTCATCTCAACTAACTGAACAAAATATATATATAGAAGAGGTGTCATTATTGAATAAAAAAGTTAATTGTATCCTCATCCATTTAAAAAAGTATACTATCTCTATTAATGTAAAAGAACCTTTAAGCTTTTCTCTATTAGCAGGCATCTTAAGCTTGATTTTCCTCTCGAAGGAAACTAACCATTTGGTGATATGACCATGTATAATGAGATATTTTCATGCACCATTTGGTAAATAGACAATCTTGATTAATGAGAACGATTTTCTAACTCCATATTTTAGTATTAGTTGATACATGTGGGCCCTGTTATGTTGTATAATTCAAATAATTGGCATCTATACTCTTATGCAAACAGAGCAAAAAAGTGAGAACTGGCAGATGGGAGGTTGGTATTTTGTGTTCCTTTGGTAGGTTAGGCACCTTTCATTTCATGTGCCTCTTCTAACAAGAAAGGAAAGGAAATAAGTACTTTTCAAAAGGAAGAAAATTGGCTGACAAATACAAGACTATGTGGGTTACATTAAATCAAAATTTTGTCTTTCTTTTCTCCTCAATCAATTTGTCAAGTTCAAATTACAATCCCGTTGAAAGCTGAATATGGATTATGAGATGTGACAGGGATTTGGCAAATTACTAAAATGGGCTATGGGTTTCATTTTCCAGATTCCAAATGGACTGGGCACATTGTTTAGTTTAGCCCAGCTGTTGCTGTACGCCACATATTACAAGTCCACAAAGAGAATAATAGCAGCAAGAAAAGAGGCCAAGATCGAGATGCATCTGTCGGAGGTGGTCGTCAATGGAAATGATGGTCCCAAGAAGACCGCCAGAGCATCTTAAGAGACCCGTCCTTCTGCATCTGCAATATAACCATATCCACCCAATTATATATATAAAGAGAGTTTATTTTTGTTATGAACATCACCATATACATGGTGCTATATCCAGCAGCTTGTCACCAAATCATTTTCCGTTCAAGTCATGTGTCACTATTTTTGCCTCTTTTTTTCTTTTGTTAATGTATCGTCTATGTCGTTTTAGTTTCATGAAAATTATTATTATGTGGCCCAACTTACATATGTAACCCTAGGGTTTTCTCCTATCCCATAATAAGAGGTAGCTTCAAATTTCATATTGAGCAGATTTTTCTTTCTTTTTAAGGATTGCATGTAGTGAAAAGTTACAAGGTTGAGATCCACTTGGAAGAATAAGGCAAAAAAAAAAAAGAAATCTCATTGTCAGATCCAATCAACCTCTCCAACAAGGTTGAGGCTGCTTTCTATCTTGAATCGTCAAATTTGCTTTGCATTTTTTCCTCCATAGTGGAATCTAATTGTTTAATCCTAATTTAAGATCCAAGCAACACAAATCAGTGGTTTGAAAACGAATTATGACCTTAAGTGGCCAGATATAACCCGAGCATTGCCAAATCTAGCAACAAGATTGTCAGATGTAGTTTTTGGAGGAAGAAACAAAAAAAAGTTGATATTGATATAAAATCACTCTTTTATACATATTTCAATATTGAAATAGTTAATTAAATATACTTAATGTTATTCAGCTACCTTTACATTTCTAAAAGTATAGAGTTAATATAGAAGTAATTAATTGAAGAGTGGTTAAAATTTAAAAAAAAAAATCACTTTAACTTTTATTTGATCTAATAAGTTTTTAACATAAATTAATATTTTATTTGAAATAAAAATTTATTTTGATACAAATTAAATAATAAAATTTATTTGAATACAATAAAAATATAAAAATTAAAGTAGTTAACTTTAAGGAATTTTTTAATATTTTAATTTTGAAGAGTTGTTAATATTTTAAAGTTAATTTTATTGACAAGTATTTATTAATTATGTTAATTTCTTAATCAAGTCAACATCAATATATATATTTTTTAATATCATTTTCCTTATAGGAAATGTGATTATTTTAAGTTTTACTAAACAAGAATACTAAATCTTTCTAAATATTAAATTTAACAAGATTCAATATAATTTTTTTAATTATGATTAAAGATGGAACTTGAAATCTCCTAAATAAAACTTAGAACTCTAGTTAAAAAAGAGGGATTTATTGGCAAAGATATAGTCTTGACACAGTCTTATACGTCCGACCAAAAGATGTTTACTTTTTCAGGCCTGATATTCAGACAGTCTTTTTTTTTTTTTTATTTCGTAATTGGTCCAAAGATTTAATTAGCAACAACATATACGCCGCCGTTTCAGTACTCTAACCAGAAAATCTCCCAGACTATCCCCCACAATCGACAAATTAACCTATACGCAGACACTCCATCTGGAAAGGAAGAGCACTACAGCAAGGGCTTTTATGTAATTTCATGCTATCTTTACCGGCCCTTTCCCAACATTTTGAGAAAACAAAATTGCCTTTTCCAAGTCGGTCGTCCAATTAAAAATCCCCACTTTCCTTACTCTTCCAGGTGATCCTTCTTCTTGCCCTTTAGCATCTGCAAGAATCAGCCAAAAAAAAATTTTTTATTTTATTTTTTCTTTCAATTTCAGCGTTATTTCTGCTTTTTTTTTTTTTAATTTAATTGGAGCAACCCTAGTTTCCCCGACTTGGAAGGTAATAAAACGGTGGTTTTTATTTTTTTATTTTTTCCTAATTACCGTATTTTTATTCGGATATATTTGTTTACAAAGATCGAATTTTTCGTTATTAGACTAATCAAAAAGTTCAACCTTGGGGAAAGCTGATTTCCAAAACGGAGACTTTGGATTGAACTCGTGTCATGCAATTCCTGAAACGACGCCGTCTTCGTTCTTAGTCAACAAATTTTGCGGTATTTTTTCCCCCTCAGATTTCTTATTTGCTTGTTGATTTAATTGTGAAAGAAGGGATTTGTTTGTATGTTAGGTGAAGATAATTATGCGTTTGTTTTGCTTAGGTGATAATGCAGTCGCAAATTTCAAATTTTAGGAAACTACGAAGCTAATTATGTGATTTGAGTTGTAATCTCTCGTTGTTTTTAGGTGTTTTTTGTTCTCAATTAGTTGATTAAGTTTGTTAATCTTGACTGAACTTATTCAGCTTTGTTTGATGTTTAAAGAAACTTGTTTGATAATAGGATGAGGCTGATATCTGGCCTGTTTATTTATTTATTTATTTTTTTGAGAAATCTCCAATTATGTTTAAAGATAAAAGTCAATCTTTGTAGAATTAGAGAAGTTAATTTGGTCATTGGAAGTAATGTGATTGGTAAGTTTCTCGACATTGTTGTGCTGCTATGAATTTCAGGGGATTACGTTTATGAGCTGCAATAACACATCATGACATTATGATCTTATCATCTTGATATGGTAAACTTTGTAGTTAGGTGCTGATAGTGCTTGTCGTAAAGCACTGACACTATGGGAGATGGCAATAACACCTCAGGCAGGGGCATGGCAGCCAACAACAGTACCTCATCTGGCAACAGTGAGAAGCCGGAGTGGCTGCAGCAGTACAATCTGCTTGGAAAGATTGGTGAAGGTACTTATGGTCTTGTGTTTCTTGCAAGAATCAAGTCTCCAACAAATCGTGGAAAATGCATTGCCATAAAGAAATTCAAGCAGTCCAAGGATGGGGATGGTGTCTCGCCCACTGCCATTCGTGAAATCATGTTGCTTCGGGAGATTTCACATGAGAATGTTGTGAAACTTGTGAATGTGCACATTAATCACGCAGATATGTCATTGTATCTGGCTTTTGATTATGCTGAATATGACCTCTATGAAATCATTAGGCACCACAGGGATAAGGTTAGCCATTCTATCAACCAGTACACCGTTAAATCATTGCTCTGGCAGCTGCTTAATGGACTGAACTATCTCCACAGCAACTGGATCATACATCGAGACCTAAAGCCATCAAACATATTGGTTATGGGTGAGGGTGATGAACAAGGAGTTGTAAAAATTGCTGATTTTGGACTTGCTAGGATTTATCAAGCTCCCTTGAAGCCATTATCTGAAAATGGTGTGGTCGTAACTATTTGGTATCGTGCCCCTGAGTTACTTCTTGGTGCGAAGCACTATACAAGCGCAGTTGATATGTGGGCTGTCGGATGCATTTTTGCTGAGCTTTTGACTTTGAAGCCACTTTTCCAAGGAGCAGAAGCCAAATCCACGCCAAATCCTTTTCAACTTGATCAGCTTGACAAAATATTTAGGATCTTAGGCCACCCCACCCTGGAAAAGTGGCCCACGCTTGCAAATCTTCCACATTGGCAATCAGATATGCAGCACATTCAAACCCACAAGTATGAAAATGCTGGGCTTCAAAGTTTTGTTCATCTGTCTCCCAAGAGTCCTGCATTTGACCTCTTATCTAAGATGCTTGAATATGATCCTCGAAAGCGTATAACAGCAGCGCAGGCCTTAGAGCATGAGTACTTCCGGATTGAACCCTTACCAGGTCGCAATGCAATTGTACCCAACCAACCTGTTGAGAAACTAGTCATTTATCCTAATCGTCCAGTGGACCAGAACACTGATTTTGAAGGGACAACTAGCATTCAACCATCACAACCCGTGTCATCTGGAAATGCAGTTGCTGGCAACATGGGAGGTGCTCACGCAGGGAGAAATGGATCTGTCAATCGGCCTATGCCACCTCCTTCCATGCAAAGAATGCCTCAGGCCATGATGCCGTATAATTTCCCGTCTCAGGCTGGAGTGGCCGGTGGAATGAATCCAGGAGGTATGCCAATGCAGCGGAACCTTGCTGCCCAAGCCCATCAGCAGCAACAGTTGAGAAGGAAAGATCCAGGAATGGGCATGACGGGATACCCTTCGCAACAAAAATCAAGACGCTTGTAAGAATTTAACGTCTAATCTGTTGATCAACTAAATGTAATTGAACACAATGTTGTATTCTTTCAATTTCAGTATAATATCAAACTTATTTCATGGAATTTATAACCCATCGACTTACGAGATCTATAAATTTATTAATGTGAGCTCTTTGCCTGTTCTTGATGAACATTTGCTATGCAGCAAGTATTTATATGTTGCCCTCTTTTGATTGAGGAATCTTGAATTTAATTCTTTGAAAGTTATCGAAGATTAGGTGCACGGTGAGTCTTTCGATCCATCAGAGGCCTCCAAAACTAAAACGTTACAGTCCTCAAACCATTTGACATTTTGTTGTTACGCGGGAAAACATCTTTAGTTGAGGTTCTTTTTACGAGGTTTCAATGAAGTAGGGTTAGAAGAATCATGAATGGAGTTTCTGTTCCAGTGTTGGTAATCCTTGACCTTCAAGACGTTAATGGATAAAAAACAGACTTATGAGAACCATACTAGAAGTTCGATTAAAAAACTAGTTATTGGCTTATAGCCCTAAGAGGCCAAGGGCCTCGCTATTTCTAAGTTGGGTTCGCCACCCTCTGAGTACATCGGTACCGATGAATGCTTCAGGATCATTATGCTAGATTTAGATAGAAATTGTCATACGTTAAGAATGAATGACTCGAAAAAATTTCAATTAAGCCTTCTTTCTTTTTTTTTTTTTTTTTTTGTTAGCAAAGATGAGAAGTGGGATCTTACAGCTCAAAAAAGAAAAAGTTTCTTACAACTTGAGAAAGTTCTTGGAGCCAAAATCTGCACATTCAGTCGCCTAGAATCCTAGGACTATAAGAATTACACTCTAAATTTATCTACAACCTAGTCATAACTCTCCAGTGCTCTCACATGAACTTCCCAGATTGGCCATCGCGTCATGAACAGACAATCTAATGATATTGCTGCCCGATGATCTTGAAACATCAACACACTCCTGAAGATCGGCATCACAAGCTATCAAAACCCATTCATTATCGTCATCCAAATATTTGATATCGAAAGTACCCACCTCCAGCTTCAGCCTCTTGGCCACTTCCTCCTTTAGTTCCAGTATACCAGAACTTAAGGAGATCCGAAATCTAATTATATCTTCTCTATAAGTAGCCTTAATGGTCGCACTCTTCATTTCCTGCCTAGCTGTTACAAAGGGGGTTGTCTGAGTAAAAGTAGCCATAGCTTGCTTGAGAGCCAGACCAGAACAGGGAGCAGGCGTCCAACTAGATTCTGGAAATCTCTCATCAACACCAACTTCTGCTGTTGAAGGACATAGGTTTCTCAAGTCTTTTGAACTTCCAGCATCCTCCACTAGCATACCTCCAAATGGCTCTTCAGGTTCTGTTGTCACAAGGGCTTCAGGCATTGACGATGTTGCCGATATATTCAGTTCCCCTAAAGGTTGGAAGGTCAATTCAGGAAAGCCGCATTGCTCATGGATGGAACCACGTGGATACTTAGTAGCAGCACTTTCAATTGCAGGGCTACCTTGGCATGAACCATGAGAAGTAGGAGTCCCAGCACTCTCTTCTCTTGAGCCACTCCCTGTTTTGGATCTGTTTGCCGCTTTCTCCAGGTCTGGTAAAAACCCATTCTGCAGAGGGAAAAGTTCTTCTTGGCTCAATGTCCTTCGTCCCAGCAACCGATCTTCCACCAAAGCTTCTTCATTACTTCCTGGTGTCCTACATGTGGGCGAATCAATTTTTTCACCATGAGGTTTGGAAGGTTTGGAGTTTGGTGAGTTTTGTTGATTGGAGCCATTCAAACTATTTGGCCATGAAATGGAACCAACAGCAGCTGGGATTGGACTTGTGGCAAGTGAAGTTAAACCAAATGCTCCATCAGCACCTTGGACAGATTCAATAACACGTTTTAGCTTGGTGAGGGAACGGTTGACTTTGTTAATCTTACGAGATGGCCACCGGGAGATCCCATGCTGCCTGCAGATGCGCTTCATTGTTGTAGGACAAACTGTAAAGCAAGAATCTCCCTGAGCATAGGCCATTTCAATATGTATAGAAAAATATATTCCAGTTTATGTACATATAAATCAGCATCTTTTAAGTAATACTGTTCAGAGGCAAAGAAGTTTTTTCAAATAGAGCATATGCATACCACCAAGGCTCTTTGCAGCATCTTTGAGACTCCCTGCAAAATACTGTTGGAGCACCTCCAGACTAATTGATTTCTCAGCTTTCCCACGTTTTCTCCCTGATTTTTTTAATTCTTTATTCTGTGGAAGACAAACAGGATTTTGGCATCCACTAGCAAAGACATTGCCTCCATCACTTGCAGGGTCAAAATTCACAGTTAATTGCTGTTTTGATGAATATAATTGCAGTTCTCCTCTGTTTGGTGAGGTGTAAGTCCCAGGTGGTGACTTCACAGATGGAGGAATTGGAATAGATTCAAGTCTTGAATCAAGCCTTTCATCTGAAGAAGCTTCAATGATTTCAATAGATCCTTCATCCTCTGCAAGTTCAGCTCCAGAAGCAACCTTAAGACATTGGAAATGCCGCTTCATTGTTGCCAGTATGGAGCCCAATAAATTCTGTTGTTCATTTCTGTCAGCAATAGCAGGAGACAAAAAAAATTCGAGAACATAATCATCATCTCCAGTATAAGTACTCCGTAAGCAGATTGCAAAACAACTGGTTAATCCAAACATGCGTGCATAGTGTACTAAGGGGTACTCAGTTTTGCAGAATTGGGTAATATCTGCACAAAAGCATGAGTTGTGGGATAAAAATGCCCTCCCAACAACCCCCTGACCCTTTTGTAGGTGATGCTCAAGACAAGCCTCCCGGAAACCCCACATGTGAGCATCTACAACATAGAATGCCACATCAGTTGTTGACATGCAGACTTGTCCCATGCAGCTACCATCAAAGCTTGTACAACTTTTCTTTAGACCACCACCATAGGCCAAAACACTGCGATGCCTGCAAGCGACCCAGGTCTGAGCCAAAGGTAGTTTATAAGTTTCACAGATTACTGACAAAATCTCCAAAATTTCAGCCAGGGCATTTTGGCGACTTTTATTGCAAATCTGTTATAAAAGCTTTAGTTTGTTAGAAGAGAGAGAAGAAATGAAAGAACAGAAAACATTTTTTTTACAGTGTCCAAAAAGAATAACATACTTGACAAAAAAATTGAAGCTCACCTGGGTGCTTGGATGATCCAATATTTCTGAACTTTTCAGATTCACTGCCTGCATAAGAACTGAAATCAAGTGACTGAGGAATCTTACAGCAGTTTAAAACTAGAAATATTTGCTAAGAATCAATGCTTAAGAATGCAAGAAAAAAAGGTTCCCCAAAAAAGTTCCCAGGGAATGGATTGGTGATTTCGCACCAATCAAATAAGATAATAATATAAGGCTAGGATGTATGGGAAAGGAAGAAACCCAACCTCAAGTGCTTTGCATACTTTATCAACCTCAGGTGCATAGTTAATCTTCTGTGAAGTCATAATGAGTTCAAGTACACCAACACAGGACTGTCTAGAAGGTTCAAAGACTGGCAACGCCAAGGTTCCCTGAACATTGTAATGCAGAGCATGATCAAGCCGTGAATACTCTCTGATGGAATAATACTGTACATTTGGAGTCCATTCTGGTAATTTTTTCCAGAAAACACGGCCAGGAAGCCCTAGCTGTTCATCACTCTCTCCATCCACAGAAAACATGTACATCAAAGAAACCATCCTATACTGATGTAGTCCATTGCTATGCGAATCAAGGACAAAGGGTTGCCCCGAAGTTGTTAGCATATACCGACCCCCACATTTTACGGGTGCCCAAACCTGAGCTAGAACATGTTGTTCAGTTGATTCTTTGAAGTAACGCAGTGCCTGAGTCATCCTCTGTTTAATTACGCAGTAACTATCTGGGTCCTCAAGGGGCAGCAGTTCCAAAAATGGAGAAGGCAGTCCTCTATTATCACCGTCCTCCTTTGGATTTTCATTTACTGGATTGGAAGTACCTGCATTTACTACAATTTAAAATACAAATCAAGTCAGTTAAACAACAGATGCTCTACCCAATTACATAGATACAGTTTCTAGTATGAAGATATAGACTAAGAGCAGAAAATTGTAAAAATTCAGGTGCTCCAAACCAACCAACTAGAACATAAATAAAACACCCAAAAGCAAACAGCTAATTCAACTCAGAAAAACTAGATATAAAAAAGCAACCCAAAAGAAAAAAAAAAGCATATAAACAAATTCAACATAAAGGAAGAAATCATTTGCAAATTTATCAAGTTAAAAAATAGGTAACACGAGAAAAAAGGATTGTAACCGGCGGGGGCCAGAGGCAAGCCGGCATAAGCGGCGGCAGACCCAAGCTTATCTTCATCAGGGAAAGCCCAAAGAGGAGAACAAGGCTGCTCAGCAGAAGAAGATATGAAAAAAGAAGAGGTGCGGTTGGAAGGGAAAGTCAACTGTTCCAACGTCCAGGAACTCTCGAGATCGAGATCATACAAATCCACAATCTCTTGGTTTTGTTGCGGCTGCTGTTGTTGTCTTGGCGGGAAAGGACATACGTTGTCTTCCCCTGGCTCGCACATTTCCTGGGAAAGAAAAAGGAACGCAAATATGTTCCTTTAAAATTCTCTTATTTCCTGTGCAGGAGGAAAGTTGTTTTCCTCTCTGTGCTGTCTGCTGGGGTGAAAAAGATAAGAAGGAATAACCTAAAGAAAGAAAGAAACATAAAATAGAATAATGAGACGGTCATTGCAACAATTGCATGGCGATTCCATTTTTCTCTCCTTTTTTTTCATAGTGTTAATTGATATAATCCAACAATTGGGTTGGGTTGTGGGCTAGTTGCTACAATTTGGATTAAAATATTGGGAGGGGATGATTCTGTGGTGCTCCCTTCCATTACCGCCACCCCTCATTCTCCTTTGTCTCCTTTACTTTTCTCTTTATAAAATTATTTTAATTTTACATAAACCATTCTAAATGTGAATTTAATATTTAATTTAATTAATTTATATAAATTATTTTTAAAAATTAAATTTAAATCTCAATATTTATAATTTTTTTATATTTCAATTTTAACTTTTATATAAAAAAAATCATACTAAGTGTGTGTGATTTCTATTGAAAAGAACATGTGCGCTATTTATCATGTGAATTTATGTTGGAAAGAAAAAACCACTTGATTCAATTAAATTTACGTGATTGAAAGTAACAAAATAAAAGGAAGCATTTAATGTAATTGATGTTCATCTTACCCATTTATTAAAATGTTGATAATTTTAAAGTAAATCAAAATTGAATATAAAGCAATTAAAAATTAACTGAAAGCAAAATATAAATTCATAAATAGTAATATTTTATATAAATCATATAATACTTAAATTTTAGTCTGAATTATCTTGAAACGCGAAGTAACGTAGCAAAATATTTAACTCAATAATAAATATAAATAAATTTTTTAATAACA